TTTCGCGGTGAGCACCACATGGTCGAGTATTAAAATCCCCTCTGGATGCTTGTTTGTATGGGAAGATCAAAATGCATTTCCAAATGTCGAAGAAGTGAAAATATCATAGGTATCCCCTCGTCGCTTAGAGAAATAGAGAAGCTCTCTAATGAATTTAGAGATTCAAGACACGAAAACAAGCTTCCGATACCAGGTACTAATCGCTTTTATGCTTTGTGACCACGGCTTTTCAAAATAACATTATTTTCTCACTATTGTTAAAACCGCTATTACTACCATGCTCACTGGCTATATTCTGACTGCTTTTATCATTTTTAGTTGGAACATGTCTTCCAAAACGGGTGAGTGACGGGCTCATCTTCGCGGTGATAAAAACCAACCCGTCGGCCCTTGCGAACCAACGAATTCGAATAGGCTAGGCTAGAAGGAGCCAAGCCTCGTTTTCATTGCATTGTTTATTTGCCAAAATTATGTAGTTTTAGTTTGGCTTATTTGCCTACCAAAGTGACAAGTCAATACATCAGCGTACATTTCTGTCTCTGAAGAGGTAATCAAATAGCCAATCGTACTCTCACTTGGTTATTGTTAATAAACAGGAATAATTCCTAGCGGATATTCGACGGCTCTCCCACTTAATAATCCTATCTTGGACTTCCATAGTGGCGGCTATGACGATGTTGCTGGCAACAGTGGGCTTTGAAGTACTTACTTCCGGTGCAGCTAGCTGATCCGTTTGCGTTGTGTCGTTTGCTCTGGCACGTTTCGACAGTGTGATATGATAATTTCCCAGTCCGATTTCCTGCATGCGATGCGCGGCATAGCGCATGCAGCACCTAATTTGTATGGCTATTATCTTAAAAGGCAGTGGTGCAACAAAAATTATATTTTTATTTAGTACCAATGTCGAGTACTTATTCTTCTTCGAAGTTAAATGTTGCCTCTTAAGCTACACATTATGCTTTCAAATTTGTGAGAAGCTTACAAGAGGTCCCCGTGTGAATATATTTACTTTCCACGCCACACTGGCCAGAAAATATCACATGGTCACACAAACCAAATGTCTGAACAAAATTTCAGCTCAACTGGTTAAGGGTAACTGATTCAAAACTCAGTTCCAAGATTTGTCCCACACAATCTAACATACATACATACTCACATACTAACAAATGGGTCAGGTTAAATGAAAGCTTGTAAAAAAGGTCATAGTAACAATTCAGTGATTGATCTCTACCTAATACTAAGTTAATTGTTGATTTTATCCCTTCGGAGTGTCGTGGTCATATCACCAGGTCAGATGGAGGATGTTTTAACCTACTCAATAGCTCATTGTAAGACACACGTATTTCGGTTTACTAATTCAAACCTTTGACTCTATCTAACACTGACATAGATCACCTCCTTGATGGTGGGGAGCCAAATATCATACTGAATCAAAATGTAGTTGAGTGTATCCATGATAATTCTCCGGTCCTTAATCTCGAACCGCTGTTCCCCATCAATTGCATGAAGAACGTCCCTGCAACTCTTTCTAAACGACGCATAGTCATCTGGTGTCCGATTAATGAGTTAAAATAGAATGTTCGCGATAAATCTTTAAATCATTCCGGAATAAAACAATGGTGTAAAGAAATACCGATATATAAACACTTCAACGACTTGTTCATTGCACAGTTTAAAATCATGTAATTGAAGTAGGTATGTGGATCTCAAAAAACTGTACAAAATCAAATGGATATTTTCAGTCGTGGTTGGAGAACAAGAAAATATGTTATATTTTAATGTTTAGTAGGGCGTTCAGGATTTGGATGTCTCATATGTTCACCAATATTTGAAGAGCTGAATTCTTCTAAAAGACATAATAAAACGTCTTAAAGATGTTTTTGTTGTGTCGTGTCGGGATGACCGTAAAACGTTGCACTAAGGTTATCATGAAAACTCCTTAATATCTCAGATATTATTGGTGGATAAAATGAACGTCTTTAAGACCTTCTGTGCTATCTGGGAATGTATCATCTCGTTTTTTTCTCATCCCCATAGATCGCATTAAAAAACGCCTCCTCACAAACGAGCCGACACTGTGTCAAATAAGGCGTGAAATGAATCTGTTAACGTCTAAGACTGCCTTTCTCTATCGTTAAACGTGAGCTGTCCACTGTATGACAGATTAAGAAGCTGTGCACCGCTGTTTCCAAAGGAATTTGTCACGATCACGTAAAGGAAATGATGGTGTTTGACCGACACCGTGTTTACGGACGATCCGTTGACCAGTCGGCAGACGTTCGGAAAGAAAACAATTTAGTGGTGATGGATTTCCTATTGATGCGTTTCTTAATGATAATAATATTTATTCAACAAATAGCAATTTGCAACAAACCGTATCAGGATGATCCAGGATGGAAAAACAAATGCATTACACCTACAGGGAAGGTAAGATTGAAATCTACACATTAAAAGCAATAATATAAAAAAATCAAGGATGGAACATTCACAAACTCATGATACATTACATGGATGTAACCACGCTATAAGAACATGGATCAACAAAAAATTTCCTGAGGGGCTTCACAACCAAATTAAAATTGACAACAACTTTATACCTAGACAATCAGGAGCGTACATGTCAATTCTGTATTTCGTATGGTACGTATAAATAATAACTTTTTCGTGTGCAAAAACCATTGACATCAGTAATACGTGGGGGTTTATTAACATTTTTGAAAACACACACACGCATATTCCTAAAATTAATAGGCTAGGAAGGGTTCCAATAATAAAATTTTTAATAACCGCTTTACAAGTCTCTGTGCTAGGTAGACGTACCAGACATCTAACTGCTCTCTTTTAGGCTACAGAAAAATCTTGTGAATCTGTGCTCATACCCCAGAAACACTATAACGGAGTCGAATACTAATATGGGTATGGTGAAGCAACAGCAATTAATTGGTTTTCATATGTTTGATGTGTTGGAGATCATATTCTCCGAGCTCGGAACCTATACCAAAAGTGTCAAGATGATTACTTGGTTAAGTTACGAAATATATACAACAGACTTAAATTTAACCCTTCTTCGTTTTCTTCTTTAACTACATCGTAGTTTGGCGGCTTGTAATAGACAAGCATAAGATACCCTATCCACTGCTTAATCACAAATAAACTGTTAAATTCCATTGCCAAGCATTAATCTCCAATCTACGCTCAGTAGCATTTTTGAGGAATAATTTATTAAGGACAGTGCTGAGAGGTGATCAATTGAATCGGTGAGTCCAAGAACAGTACAAGTCCAAAAAATGGCGTATTGAGTTAAGATAGCCAAATTGTTTAAAATTCGAAGCCTTGTGTGTTGTGCTTAAAAACATTACAATGTTCAGGAATAATTCGGCTATACGCGCCACCTCTCTACGGCGTTGACATGGAAAACATTACAAGTCCAGGACATGTACTGTTTTCGACCTCACTGATGTGGGTGTCACACATCGCGCGCGAGGTGACGATAATAAATTGAACCGGTGAGTCCAAGAACAGTACAAGTCCAAAAAGATAGTTCTGAGAAAACGCGAAAAAACTTCATAGCTCCCGAATGTGTAGAGTTACCGTTTTGGCTAACATACAAAAATGGTAGTGATTCTTTATATGAATACTAATTTTAAATAAAAAATAGACAAAAAACACCCCTCGAAGTTGTAGAAGGGTGAAGTTCATGGACTTGTACTGTTCTTGAACTCAGTCTTTTTTTTGTACATTTTTGCAGATTTAGTGTATAATAGAGTTGGAAAGGAACTCTTATAGAGGCTGCTAGACATATGAAAAATGTTTTATTGGGCGAATCCATACAAAAATATTAGTCATCGGGATCTCCGTTTGCGTAGCTTTGCTTCCAGGAAGTTACATGGTAGTAAAATTCTAATGTTTCACCGTTAATGTACTTCATGACTTTTTTGATATCGGTGATCTTCTTATGGTTGATGGGAACCGGCTCTTGATATGCGCGTATCTCTGGCAAAGGAGGACTTGGTTTGTTCTGTTTGAGGAGCTTAAAAGTATAAGAAATAAAACCATCTATATATTCATAGGTAGTAACATATCCTGGAGAAGAACTATCATAAACAAACTGCCTATACTTTGAAACAGTGAATGCCTGCGTGGTATCACCAGGTTTAGGGATCGAAGACGCAGTTTTTTTGTAGCTAGAAGGCCACCAATTTTTAAAGTCAATGATATCTTTGTAGGTAATCTCTTTAAAAGTAAACGGGTTGTTCTTCCTGCACGATACTATCATCTCTTGATATTCTTCTGGTAAATACACTCGGTCGCTTCTTCGTACAAGTTTTTTCAAAGTTCCAAAGTCTCTATCGCAGGGCAAGAACGAGTGCCCCCGTACAGGAAAATAATGATAAATTTTTTTGAACCGTTTGGTTGCTTGTAGAGCTAGGAAAAATCTCACTATTGTGTTATTCCGATTTTGACCAGGACAGCCGTCAGAAAATATATGCAGCTCTGTCACGTTTCCAGGAATGTGAGTCTCTATGTAGTTTTTGAGGAATGTGCAGACCTCGTTTGGTCCTTTGCAGGCATGCCCTTCGTGGTATGTGTAAAAATGTCCAGAATTGTCTGATAAATTATGAATTTCTAAAGCATATACCCATAGTTGCCGAAAATAAAAGATCTCTTGAACTGGTATATTCGGAAGGGGTAGATTTTGAATGTAATCTAAAGTAATACCGGCAACTTCAGGTCGATTTTGACAGAGTTTTTGGATATCGCTTATGGACTATCAGTTCTGCTGTGGCCACTCGCTTTGCATTATCATTCAAATCTTTACTTTTAATCTTGGCGCCTAATCGTTCGCATTCGGAACAGACGTCCACCTGTGGTCTTCCAAATTTGAGTGCATAATTTACCTTGAAGTACTTTAAATATAATTCATACTTAACATCATGCTGCAAATCAGGATTTTATTTAATAAATAGAGAGTGCATTGTTTTAACATTTAGCCTAGCATCTAGGTATTGATGTACTCTAGAAGAATAATGAGTACTTTTACGTGGGAAACGTTCTATGTGCTCCCTAATTCTGATTAGTACTTCATCTGATTTGGAACGTGGCCTGTTATTGTGTAGGCCCTTTAAATCTCTTGGAGATGCGCCGGTCACAAGCAATGTAGTTAAGCGTTGAATTTGCATATGTGACACACCGTAAATACTCATGAAAGCTCGCTTGCATACTGCCACACGGTTTCCAGAGCTCTCCAATATAGAGTACTTAAAACTTGCGGATTTGGGCTTAGCATTAGCTTGGACTCGTCCTCTACGTCTTGAAATGGTTGTCACCTCAATTAGGCCTTGAAGAAATGTGTCACGTTCATTTTTGGGCCTACCGTCATATAGTTTGGAAATAAAATGGTTTTTTCTTCATCGGGAAACTTCTCCTTGCACCTTTAAAATACGCAAGTTACTACTCTGTGCTTTTTAGTATCGATAATTACACTTACCCACATGGAGACCCAGATGATTTTGGTGCAACCCTTTTTCCGGATGTAGAAACATAGGCTTCACCTTTAAGAGCAGCAGTTTTCCTTTTATTGTCTTTCCAAACTTTCGGATTCCTTTTTCGCATTCTACTCCCATGCAAACCTTCGGCACTATCATCACTCTCGTTAGAACTAATCATTGTTATTCTCAAAAATAACTGCTTCCAACTATTAAGTTTGTCTCGGCAGTGAGATAACCTAACTCTTATAATAATTAATACATTTATCGATAACATTGAGCAAAAGCATTTGTCAATAACTTGACTGTCATATTTCCTAGGTTCAGTCGTTCACTTTTCCAAAGATAGAAACATAGACATTCGTTTTTAAAAATCATTATACCAAATTCAAAATTACAGTATTTTTACCTCAACTCAACAGGAATGTAACAGTGGGAGCAATTGACCTCATATTGTGATGAATCCTCATGGTTCATGGCGCCAACATTAAATAAACAAAACAGACCATAGTTCCTTCCTACATCCTATGATAATTTTAAATCTCCTCTTAGAATAACAGTAGGTAGTATTTTGAATATGACACACGCCAATATGCTGCCTTTGGAGAACGGCGTTATACAATACAGAACTTTCAGACATTGTGTACTAATTTCCATTTTTAAGTACTAACGGCGCCGTGTAGGCAGAAACCTGAACACCTTGTTAATCCGATTTTAGGACTGCCTAAGGTTATCAGAACTACTCATAGTAATAACCTCCTTAGGCAGATCTTTCCACAATCTGGGCAGCCTAGGAGCAAAGGAGCAGTTGCATCACCCAGATCTGGATTTGCGGAGTTCAACAGAGTTGGGATATGAGACAGAGGCCTGACGGATCTATCTGGCAAGATCAAGGTGCGTCAGCATCATGGAGGAGGGCTCTGAGAACCAAAGCCTCTTGACATAAACGATGTAGTCGAGCAGCAGCACCTCAAACATGTGAGCAGTATTCGAGGCTAGGTCGTATCTGGGCTTTGTATAGGGTGAGGGCGTTATGTGGAAAAAGGTACTTCTTAACCCTGAACAACAAAGCCTTTTTTCAGCAGCTGTTGCGATTAACGAGATGTGTTCGTGCCAAATCAAGTCCTCAGTGATCTGGACACCAACGAGCCAACATGAATGGCTGTTTGGCAGAACTCGGTCATCCATCGAAACTGGATGAGTGGATGAGCGCTAGGGCATTTCTTCTTAGTCAATGTCAGTACAGTTACTCAGCTACCCATCTACAAAGCTCCTCTGGGAATCCATCATAAGTTGGAAGTTTGCATAAGATGCAATGATATGAGCCTCGCCGTAGCACTGGATACGTTTACTCAACAGTTTTGTAACGTAAGGTAGAAGATCTCCCGTTAATCTTTGGTACTGGAAAGCATACTGCCTGTCGCTAATACCGCCGCGATGCTCGGGATACTCTATAGAAGCCCCCGAGCATCACTTTGCTGATAATCGGAAGTAGAGCTGTAGGTCTGCAATTGTTAGCAAGGCTCCACTGCAGATCTTTTTATTACAACAACAGTAATCAAGTGAGAAGCTTTGTTGATATCATCTTTGGGCTGTCTAGATTTGTTAGAGAAGCTTTGTGTAGAAAATGTTGCTGAATAAAGTCACCTATTGAAATTATTGGTCAAGATCATGTTGCTAACCTATTTCGCAGTATTTGGAATAATTTTGATCCTTCTTCAAAAAGCCCTAGATAACGATCTTCGAGATCACTTTTGTTTTATTCCGTTATTTTAGATAGGCACATATCAGGACTCCATGACTGTCGGATAATCCACATACGTATATTATGTGGTTCCATTACGAAATATTCATTCAATATTTAATAATATTTTTATCTTACTTGAATATTTGTTATCTTACTTGAATATTTGTTATCTTAAGCAAATATTTGAGTCCCCTATTTCCAAAAGCGGCTAAATCCAAAATTGAAGGTATTAAGAAAAAGGCGAAAAACTGTAATTCTTATTATTTGTAAGTTTGGGAGTCAGTAATACCGTAATATTAATGTATGTAGCACAATAAAGGATTTTTGAAAAATAAAACGTATTTTTTGTTTTATATGTCAGTATGGGAGGGGGGGTAGGGATGGATCTACCCGAGTTTGAATGTGAACTCAGGATTTACCCGGTATTGAAACGAAGTTTGTGTGAATTCTTTCCTGATGTATTAACATTAGATAACAAAAAGGAATAAAAAAGAAAATCGTACATTCTTTCTTGTAAACTGTTTTGGGTACATCAACTTAAAACTCAATTTGAGAAGTAGAAAGTCCTTTTTGTTAAAAACGAAAATAAAAATCATAAAACATCAGCTTCAAAGCTACACTCGGTATTAGCAAAGCACACACTTTTATCATCAGCATTTTCTTCTGCTTGTGTTAAACTTTGTTGATTATCCATAACAGTCTTATAGTATTCCAATTCGAATTCTTCATTTTTTTGCTTCCACGCCGTTCCAAAATGTTTTGTCAAAAGTTCATCAACATTCTTTAGTTTTTCGGGATTTATTTTCAAGTTATTTATACAAACGTTTTCTGGGGACATGAGCGATATCCTCTTCCCCCTTTTGCAGATGCCTTTAGCGTTATTCACATCAGACTGGTAATTTGGTTCACCTCTTACCAGGACTTGCAGAACGAGTCAGTATCAACCGCTTACATGACTTGATTTGTAAATGTAGTGAGGTTGGTGACTTGATGACATTTGCGGCCTCCTTTTTCCAATTTTGAATATGCCAGTCCTGTCCCAATTTTTTTAAAGTACCATGGTTTTCGAAAATATTATAATACGTTTCAGGCTTGACTATTGTATCAAGTTTTTTTATAAGATACAGTTGCCTTTTGTAATATGTTATTTGATCAGGAATTTTCGGTAATACTAAGTTTTTTTGGCAGTCAAATGTCAGAATCAATAGATCATCACTTTGGCCTCTGAGTTTTGTCATAAAATGCTTTTGCCCTTAGCTTATGTATGCATTGTTTCACTATTAAATCGTTACCTGCAAATCTTTCTCTGTCTTGATCATTTCTCTGTATTCAAGGCATTGCGAGCAGACATCTACTTGTGGCGCATTGAATCCTATATAATATACACGTCAACAGGATCTAGCCGGTCTTGTTCATAAACAAGAACATAATAGCTGGTGTAGCAGTGGATGTAGCCGGTTTTGGTAAAACCAAGGATTTAGCCACTTTTGTAATAAAACACGCATCAGCTTTAGCCGGATTTGAAAATAAGACTGAAATAGTGTGCTGATTTATATAGATTTTGCCGCATTTTGGAAACGAGTATGTATTACAGTATATTACTAGAACCTTTGACTATGAGATGGCAGCACCCACACCATTTTTCGTAAATATGGATTTAGCCGCTTTTGGAAATAGGGGACTCATTTAACGAATATTTGGAATATTTTTATTAAATATTTATTCAATATCTCTTAGATATTTTAAATACAGTATTTATTTTATAATACTAATTAAATATTTACTTTTCAATCAATCGAAAATATTAAATCTCCATTATTTAGAAAATATTCATTGATTATTTTCGGCTACGGCGCATGTGCGTGTGATCCCGAGCGACCAATGACATGACGATAAGCCGACCTGAGCTGACCCGTTTGCCGGCATCTGTTTTGCCTGTAAGTTTCACTATGATAGCGTGTTTCCTGTGTACTCCAGGTGGTACATTATTTGAGTCTTTTTTTTGTGGAAAAGAGAAACGGGTAAGTTTTTTGATAATTACATAGCTTAATTTATCTGACTGTAAACATTATTGTGCCAGTTGAGTATAAAGGTATTTACAAGACCATCAATAATTAGCCCTGAAGTGAAACAGCTATTTGTTATTTGGGATTGGTGGATTTGTTGGAAAATGGTCATGAAAATTATATTCACAACATCCCAATGAAAAGTCATTCAATCGCAACTTGATCGAGATACATCAAATATGCGTTTTTGAATATCTTAATTATTATTATTATTATTTTTGTCGTAGTAGTGGGCAAATCAGCTGTAACCATTTCAAAATTTTCAAGTTCAACAGCAACGTTCCAAAATTTCAACAGTCGACATTACTATATTTTTGTCACTTGAATTATAATATAAAATCACAAAATAATTAAGGCTAAATTAGCCCCATTATTTCTGCAGAAAAGTCACATTTCAACAAAATCAATAAGTAGTCTACTTTTGAAAACCTTTATTTAGAAAATTTAGTAAAAGGATCAGGTTGTGCCCATGGATATTTTTCATCAAGATATTTAAAATAACGTACCAAATTTTCTTAAAAATTAACCAAACCTTGAACTCTCATAGGAACAAGAACAAAAAGTGGGGTCCTTTTACGTGCATTATAGAGCTGCTTTTCAGTGACCCAGTTGAGCTACTCCGAATAACTCAGCAGTGCTCAGCTCAGTTGCATTTTATATTTCCATAGGTACCCTTTTCTAGAGTAGTTTGGAAAACTAACCCTCTCAAACAAAAGACTACTGGAAAGCATCTTATGTAGTCAATAATACTTCATAATTGGTCAGTTTTTTTTCAGTTGAGTGGATTTGCAAGATGCAGAAGAGGCTTAGAATGTTTTTTGATGATATTTTTCTAGCAAATTAAACCATTATATCTAAAATGAATTTTCTTTTTAAACCCAATTTCATAAAAGCATTCCTACAGATTTTGCTAAAATAACCAATGGAGAATTTTCTACATACACTGAAAATATGTACGAGATTAATGATTGAAAATCCATACATATTCACGAAAAATATTAGATATTTCATCAAAATATAAAATTTTAAAAACCCTCATATATTTTCTGAATACTTGAAAGAAATATCGCTAAAATGTATGAATTATATATACTACAAATATATATAACTAATATTTTATGAAATATGAAACATATTTATTAAATATTAAAAAGTCTGTTGCTACAAATATTTAACAAACGGTTTTTAAAAATATTTTATAGATATTTAATGGTATCGGGGCATAGTAAAGTTTCATTGATCCCATATTGTCGCTATCGTATTATAGCGATAGCGTAAGTATGTGTCTATACAGCAACGGGTCTAGTGTATGGCTAGCTGTCAAAAGACAGCCAGCCATGCACAGCTGTTTCGTGCTTTTCCGCAACTCTTCAGCATGGTGTAGGCTCTGTCTCTGGAACAACGAAC